ATGGAAGAAATTGATTGAGGCTTGTCTTTCGTCTGTAAAGTTCTCTATTCTCGTGAATGGATCTCCTGCTGGTTTTTTTTGGGTGCTCTAAAGGATTGAGACAAGGTGATCCCCTGTCGACTTTTCTCTTTCTTGTCGTAATGGAGGGCTAGTAGACTTATGAGGAGGGCAGAGGATCTCGGTCTTATCAAGGGCTTCAGGGTGGGTAGAGATTTAGCTCATCAAATGGAGATTTCTTATCTCCTGTTTGCAGATGACACTTTGGTCTTTTGTGATGCTGAGGTGTCTCAACTTTGATATTTGAGGTGCATTTTGGTTTGTTTTCAGGTAGTTTCTGGACTGAAGGTTATTACGGCTAAGAGTGTGCTTGTTCCGGTTGGGGATGTTCAGGATATTTCTTCCTTAACCGTAGTTCTAGGGTGTAGGGTAAGTTCTTTCCCTCTTCCTTATTTGGGTTTGCCTTTGGGGGTCTCCTCTAGGAGGGTGGGGAGTTGGGACCCTGTGATAGATAGATATGTTAAGAGGTGGCAGGATGGAAGAAGCAATATCTGTTGAAGGGGGAGAAAGTTACTTTCATAAAGAGTACTCTGTCGAGTTTGCCTACTTATTTTTTATCATCTTGTCAGGTGGGATCAAGTTTGCAAGCCCATTAAGTTGGGTGGTCTGAGTATTCGGAGGTTGGTTCGTTTTAATCAAGCTCTCTTGGGTAAATGGTTATGAAGATTCGGCAGGGAAAGGCACCACCCCTGGATAAAGCTCGTCTCATGTTGTTTTGGGGAGGAGAGTGGTGGGTGGTTTACTCGTCCAGTGTCTATGGCTGGTGGAGTTGAAGTGTGGAAATCCATTCGAAAGGGTTGGGATATTTTCTCTTCTCACATTAGATTTAAGGTGTATGACAGTAGATATGTTCGTTTTGGGGAGGATTTATGGTGTGGTGATCAGCCGTTATCTTGTACCTTCCCAAGATTGTATAGCATCACAACCGATAGACATGCCTGCGTAGTTGACTGCTATTGGCTTGATAGTAGTGGGATTACATGGGATGTGAGCTTTCGGCTTTCCTTTCAGGATTGGGAGATGGACGAGGTATGTGTTCTTTTGGAAATGTTGTACAAACAGGAGGTACTTGGCAACGGTAGTGATGATATTAGGTGGATTCCCTCATCCCATGGTCGTTTTGAAGTACGATCCCTGTTTCGATGCCTAACCAACTTCGTAGGCATTGATTTTCCATGAAAGACCATATGACGTTGCGTTGCTCCACCTAGAGTGGCATTTTTTGTTTGGACAGCTATATGGGGTAAGATTTTGATGATTGACAATTTGAGGAAGAGAGGCAATTGTATTGTTAATTGGTGTTGCCTTTGCAAACGTGACGGTGAGTCAGTGGATCATATCCTCCTGCATTGTCCAGTGGCATACGCCTGTAGGAACCTCATATTTGGGTTATTCGGTATGTTTTGGGTAATGCCTGGATCTTGCAAGAGATTGATTTGTGCATGGAGGGGATGCCGTGTGAGAAGTAGTGTTCGCGATTTTTGGAGGGCAGTTACGCATTGCGTTTGGTGGTGCATTTGGAAGGAGAGGAATAGTAGACTGTTCGAAGGGAAGGAGTCATCCACGGCGACGCTGAAACTTCATATTATTCGTTCTTTTTTTAGTTATGTGAAGAGTTCTTGCTCCTCTCCCCGATGACTTAGTTAATTTTTTGGATTCTTTGGGTCTTTAGAACCCGGTTCCACTCTTGTTTCCGGATGTGTTCCCCTTTTGAATGCTTTTTAATCGATTATTATTTATCAAAAAAAAAAAAAAAAAAAAAAAAAAAAAAAACCTTATTCCAAAATAATTCTTAATTAGTTCCTAATTGATTCTAATACAATTTTAACCAATTTTTCAAGGTCAAATTAAGAACTACTCTTTTTTCGTGTTTTTTTTTTTTTTTTTTTTTTTTTTTTTTTTTTTTTTTTTCATACACAGGTATTGTATTGATCAACTCAAAATATTGCAATCAGTACAAGAGATCACTCACAGTAGAGGCATACCCCAACTTCACAAAACGCATGTAAGAAAAACAATCAACAGAAAAATTCCACTTCCTACATAAAGAACACTATCCCAGTCCTCACAAACACATTTAATGAAAGATAAACATCCTGTAAATGGAGTCTAGCAGCATCTATCACTTGAAACAAGGAGGTTTTTGCAACCCCATAGCAGACCTGCACACATCTTGATGATATCTACCGTTTCTTTCACTGCATAGAGCCCACAAGATTGCTGTGAAGACCATCCTATTAAATTTCGATCTGAATGTGTTACTCTCAGTGAGCTGCATGAACCAGTCCAAACACTGGCCAAAAGAATTACACACAGGCATATGCCACCCAAGAATATCATCAACCCAACCCAAACTTCCATAGTATGATTATTAATTAGACGAGCTTAATTATTAATTATTAATTATTCATTCCAAATCCGATGGTCTTCTAGGTTACTTATGTTTCTTAGTTGTGTGATTTAGGAGTGTAAAGAAGATGATGCAATCTCCTAGCTTGGTCTTCATCATCTACACAACTTCAGTACCAAATCCGACAATGAAGTGACACAAAACTTTAGACTAGCCAAGATTTTGTTCACGGAATATGGCAACGCATGACACTTCTACCTAAAATGTGCAATATAAGTTCTACATACACTAAATTAAAAAAGGAAAAGGCAACGAGGAACTTTCCGAATTTAGAAATTTATGCTTTTTGAAGCAAGGAACCTAGGATCAGTGAATGAGCTTGTGGTGATCGATCTTCTACTTACCTCGATTCCTCTATGGTGAACCAGAAATCCAAGGAAATTACCTGCGGATATCCACTGCGCATAGGTACAATCCCCGTCGTTCGCCCGCATACAACTACATTGTTCAGCCAGGCAGGCAACGGTGAACTCGAGACCTTTGGCTCCGATACTATGTTAACCATCATCTACTCTAGAAGCTTAAGTTGTTAGAGAGGGTGTAACTTTAATATTTAAATCCTCTAACAGTCCTCTTAGTCAATTTTAATTTTACCTAATTTCTATGTGATTTAATCGATCAAGACTATTAATCCATCTCATCCTTGCAATCTTCATGATATCCATGCAGTTTTCTATCTTCACATCTTCATTATGTGTCTTTTCAGGCACATCAATAGGTAAATCGAAGTGACTAATTGACAAACCAACATTTGACCTGACTAATTACAACTGTCGTTTTGACTGGATAATTTGTCAGCACATTAACACTGAGTTTTCACAATCATTCCCTTTGAAAATTATGTGGCAGAACCCAAGTTCTACATACAAGATGTATCCTAATCACGACAGAAATTCATTAACTACCAGTCATCTTTTACATATCCACGCCAAAACAAAACGAATTTAATCGATGCAAGTACTTGGGACAAAACTTTAGCTGGTAACTGTAGAAGCTCATGCTCAATTCTTTCCATGAATGCTCAATTCCATCAAACCCAGCATTCAGATCTCCAAATACTCCTTTCATAATGTGTCTAAACTCTGAACATCTGCAATAGTAGTAGGAGTTGATGCTAAAGATCCATGAGTAGATGGAGTTGCTCAGTAGAAAGAGGATGTTCAATCTGTAGCTCGTCAAGAATCTCAGGTTCATCCTCTTTTTAGCCCCAATAGTGCATGAAACCTGTAGACTTGTATGAGATAGTGACTTCTCCACTGAAATAGCATCAGTAGTGGTAGGTGTTGACACTAAAGATCCACGAGTAGATGGAGTTGCTCAGTAGAAAGAGGAAGTTCAATCTGTAGCTCGTCAAGAATCTCAGGCACATCCTCTTTGTAGCCAATAGTGCATGAAACCTGTAGACTTGTATGAGATAGTGACTTCTCCACTGAAATAACATCAATAGGCATAGCTTTAAAAAAGCTCACATATTCAGGGATCCCAACATCAATCCTCTGAATAATTCTAGTAACAACTAGTACATATAATAAGGAATATGAATTGTTGACAAATAAATATAATTGGTTTATAAATTAAATCATACTTACGATTTATTATGCTTCCTACTTGTAATTAATATGTCCCATCCTGTAGTTAATTATCACTTGTTTTTGTTATTTTATGTATTTAATTTTATTTATTTATTTTTGAGTATAATAGCTATATCATCTTTTTTTCAAGGTGTAACACTTATGATGCATGTATCACTTTTCTATTTCCTTATGGAGATTTATATCCGTTCCATCATATTATATAGTTAGCCATTCCTTTGGATCCTAACATTTGTATTTTATGTTTATGAATTATAGTCCTACTAAATTTTGTACTCATGGTGTATTCTAAATTCCAGTTATTAATTCAAAGAAAAAAAATCTTATATTGATATCCTAATATCAAAATTATCAGGTTATCTATTTAATATTTTATAATCTAAAACATTTTAATAATATTAATCTGCACAAGCGTCTCTACAATCAAGTCTTCTATTTTCACAGACTTGAGAATCACACGACTCCTACAATGATCTACGGGGACACCTGCAATCCCTTGGAAACCTTGCATTTCTCCTTACAATCTTTTTCAATTTATAGCTTCACGAGACAAATGGGTTTTCTCTGCGTTTGGAGGTTTGGAGCACCTCTGATTTGATGGGCATTGGGAAAGCAAATTTAACTCTAATTTTGCACATGGAATCCCTTTGAGCTCCTTCAAATGGATGACAGTCTGAGTCCCATTTTTTTTTATAGAAAATAATAACAATAACAACAACCACAGCAACAACAACAACAACAACAACCCTCTTGTATCCGTCAAACCAACTGATTACTGACTATAACTGGAGCCAATGCTGTATGCATCCGAGTAAATTCTTATTAATATTTTTCCAGGTCTTTGGATGTTAATACCTCTTTAATTGTTCCAGGCCCACATATTACATATGCGTGGCATATTGTAATGATACACTCATGGAGAAGTTTTATGGTTTTTGCAGGAGTTTGGGATGCAGTTGTGACATGTTTCTTCCTTGATACGGCACACAATATTGTTGAATATATTGAAATCATTTCAAGAATCCTCAAAGATGGGGGAGTAAGTTGTTTGAAATCAGTTCTTGTTAATTCTTTTTCATCCTTTGGAGAATTCAAAGGTCATCTACTTGGCTGATAGGTTTGGATAAACTTGGGGCCCCTTCTGTATCACTTTGCAGATATGTATGGTCAAGAAGATGTAAGATTCTTGCCTCAAAGTAGATGCACACACTCCTACTCAATGGGCTTGATAAATTCGGTCATGATTTCTTTTTTTGTATCTGTTGCTTCTTTCTAGGAGATGTCCGTTGAATTAAGTTTGGAAGATATAAGGAGGGTTGCTTTCTATTATGGATTTCAGTTAGAGGTAATCTCAATCTGTTGTCCTTTGTTGTCTTTGAGTTGGTGGATGACAATATTGATATTGTTCAACTCTTCAATTTTTGGACAATAGAAAGAGAAGACCATTGAGACAACCTATACTACAAATCCTCGATCTATGATGCAAGTAAGCTTCTCACCTTATGCATTTTTTGTCTATCTCACTGGGTCTATTGTCTTTTTAGTTGTATATTTAATATTGCATTAAAATGCTTCTGATATAAACTGATTATTGTATTCAATTTGGACTGAGCATTGCGGGAACGTCACCTTTTCAATTATATTCACATAGTATGTAATTTCATAGGGAGTACGTATCTAGAGAGTCATTTTTTTTTTTTTTTTAATACCAAATTCAAGGAAAAGAAGACAAGTTTACTGTAATATGGTACACCTGTCGAATTGGGAAATAATTGAAATGTGCTCTTGCACCAGGAAATAAATAGGAGCTATTAAAGATGGTTGGGGCTGATGTATTTGCATTTAATGCTTTTTTTTTTTTTTTTCTTATTATTTTTTTCCCATCTAATTTTCACCAAAGCCTGTTCCAACTTTTGTGGCCAGCATGAGAAGTCAGCTTTTACAATTGTTTACAAGAAGAGATATGTCCTATTTTTTGCCTCTGGGGACAGGCTGTGTTCTGTCGTGTATTAAGATCATATAGCTCTATTTCTGAGGGAAAAAAGGGTACGCGTAAGTGTAAACTATAGAATGGAAATTCATTTTTTAAATTTTTTGCAAATCTGATATTCAGTTTGTGAATAAAATGATAAATTGATTTAATAGTTAAACTCTTTTTTTTTTCTTTTTTTTTTTTTTCCTTTTCTGAATTTAAACTTAATTTGTTATGATATTAATGAACTGAATTTAGGTGAATCAATTTTTTGAGTTTTCCTTTTTATTTCACATGTCCTTTTTGTTACTTCAAAATTTAACTTGTCATTTCGGCGAAATTATAAAAATAGAAAAAGTAAATAAATTCTGGTGAAAGGCACTTTATATTTGTCTATAGTTATGAACAAAACTCAAATTAATTGCTATAGTAGAAAAGTTAAACAAAAAATTAACATCTGCTTCCTGATATGAAAAATATATACTTTTCAAATTTTAATGAACACGGTACTTTTACCTTTAAATGTCTTAATTGTTGGAAGAAAAAAATAAAAAAATCTGTAAAGGTCTCCATATATCAGGAATTATATTTTGGAGGTTGGACATAATCGTCGTGCTAGAAAGTTGAACTCAATTATCTGTACTCTTTTTATTGGTGTTGTATAATCTCTTAAAGATTCTTACACTTTGTTCAAGCTTGGTTTTTCTTCTTATTGCAGAATCGATATTACGCTGCATTTTGGACAATGAGAAAGAGAACAACGGAGGCAACAACTCAGCGGTGCACAACTTAAATTGAAATGCTCCTCGAGTTGCAGAATTAATGGGTTTCTCTATAAGAATCCTTGCATTGAAGGCCTTTTTTTTTTTTTTTTTAATCTTCAAAAAGACCAAAAGGGATAGCTGGATATATATTTCACAAATTTCTGCATCATGTAATAGTGCTGAATTTGCAAATTAATCATGCATATATTAAAAATCCGCTCGATGCGTTTAGCGGGATTAGTATCGAGTTTATTGCTGAAAATAAATTAAAAAAGAAAAAAGAAAAAGAAGCAGCAAGCAGGCTTAGGTGGTATGAAGACATACAGCGAAAACATGGAGATGCACTCGTAAGACTAGAAAAATTAGTTTTACATGGAAGGAAAGGAACAGGGAGACTAATGACTGAAACTCCCTCAATACCTGTGATGAAGTAATTATAAATTATTTTTAAACTCCCTCAATACCTGTGATGAAGTAATTATAAATTATTTTTAAACTCCCTCAATACCTGTGATGAAGTAATTATAAATTATTTTTAAACTTTAAATGTAAGAGGTGACATGACTTGTGATAGAATAGAAATGAAAAGCAGTATTTATGTGTGTTGAATTCACTTGGGATGAAGGATGTAACTAATTTTTCTTCTCAACGGAATTTAATGCATCAGGGACTATTTTATTATTATTATTATTTATTTTTTGAAAAAAAGGAAGGCCAAAGACTCGAGAACATAACTAAGGCTTATATTTCGATTGCCTATGTTAGTGATTCATCTATATATATTGGAATGCCTATGTTAGTGATTCATCTATATATATTGGAAGAAACGCGTCTCTGGGATCCAAATGCTTGTTGAATTTTTGGACTTAAGGTCTCTCTCTATACACGATTCGCATGCTAATCATCCAAAACCGACCTAAAAATATAGAACACGGCTTCATAGCTCGTAAAACACTGTGATTATACTATTACTAAAATACAATGAGTCGCGGATTATTTTTTTATTTAAAAATTATTTTATGATATATTATATTACATTATTTGATTTTATTTTTCAAAAAAAAAAAAATCATTAAAGACAAATTATTTGATTTTATTTTGAACAAATTAAAAGTAACACACAAACTCTTTGATAAATTCTTTATTTGAGAATAGTAATTGAAATTAAATTTTACTAATCACCTTTTATATATTATAGGGTTAAAAAAAAAAAAAAACCTTGAACTATTAGTGAATCAGCAACAGACCTTGCTAAACTACAGAAGTTGCAAAAAAATCCCCTAAACTATAAATTTGTGTTGCAGATGACTCCATCCGGTGATGCTGCGGTTGGATCTCGCCGATAAAATGATCAAGTGTTGCACGTGACACACATCTTTAAATTAAGGGATGATAATACCCTTATAAACATGAGAGGACCATAATACCCCTTTTTAGACCAAATACGATTATTGAGACATACCCAAACAAAACCTAATCTAATTTTCCAAAGTGTTAATTACAACGACACCCTCTGAGGTTTGCCATATTGACAGCCATATATAACTTAGCCATTTTTTGGACAAAGACACCCCCTGTGAGAATTTTGATCCAAACAAGTCCATAAAATGTTAGAAAAGACGATATTACCCTTCAATGTTTAATTCATTTTTATAGTAAAATATTGAACTCATGAAAAGTCAAATTTGCCCTTATATATACACTATTACATAAGCACCATCTTATATATATATATATATATATATATATATATATATATATATATAAAACCAAGTTCATTCGCCCCTAACCACATCCGCTGTCGCCATCTCCCCAACCACAGCCGCTGCCATCATCTTCCTCCTTATACCACCACCATTTCTCAACCACAACCGCTGGTTCTTGTTGTCGAGAATCAACACTTTTCTTCGCCTTACCGCGACCTTTTGGAATCACACCTAAACGCGAATCGGTGAGAAGTCGACTAAGTGATTTGACGACCCAAAAAGAGATGTTCTTTACAAATTTGAGTACTTCGACTTTGATTAGGCGGGCGAACCCCAGCGAATGAATCCGTTAATGGGCGAATCGAAGACTTAGGCACAACCACATTGATCCGACCGGAAGACGTCGGATCACTACCACCAAACCAAAGCTTGTGATACAACCGCGATTCCCGACGGTGGCGACGACCAGTGGAAGCTTCGACAAAGGCCCGGCGCCGCCTCCACTCTCTCTACCACTATCACCCCGGTTCGTTCTTTTAAGAAATGTATATATATATAAGAACGAATATATATTTGCCCACAAAATTGAAGAAGCATGCATCTTGGATGGGCACAGAGAAACTTGATGGTGGAAAAAGAAAACATTGATTATTGCTTATCAAAAAATAATAATAATAGTATGCAATAATTCTCACTAAACCCATTTCCAATTTCTCTGTTTCGTTTTTTTTCCCCCTTAGATGGGTTCAAAAATATGCGGGTCTCTACTTCTCTTCTCAATCCTCAGTATATACACACACACACACACACACACACACACACACACACACACACACACATATATATATATATACACATGAACATAATTGAACTTTAATTGATCTTCAGTATATACATATAAATATATATATATATATATATATATATATATGTATATACACATGAACACAATTGAACTTTAGTTGATTCAGGAGTTGGAAGATATATAGAGATAGATAGATGTATGTGGGTATTGAACATTCCATCATGTTTTCGAGGTCTTAAAACATTTTGGTGGAGGTGGCAGTGTTGAGTGCGTAGAGGTGGCAATGGTGGAAGTGGTGGTGGTGGTGGTTTCTGGGGGAAAAAAATCTAGGTTTTCAGTGAGAGAGAATAGAGAGATAAAATTGGGAATAATAAGGGTAATTATGTCATTTAAAGATTTGGATATTTTAAATCAAAAATTAGTATTTTATTAAAGGGCAATCTAAGTATTTTCTCACCTTTTAAGGGCTTGTTTGGATCAATAATTCTGACAGGTGTCTTTCTTAATTGTATCAAACTTAAGGGGGTGTCTTTGTCCAAAAAAATGGTTAAGTTGTATATGACTGTCAATATGACAAACCTCAGGGGGTGTCGTTGTAATTAACTCTTTTCCAAAAATCCTAGCACCTTTCTCTCCCTCTCTCTCTCTCTCTCTATATATATATATATATCTATCTGCATCAGATGATCTATATCGTCTTTGTCTATATATATATATATATCATCTATATATTGTCTGCGTGTATATATATATATCGTCTATATACATATATTGACAGTGTCTCTATCTTGTGCCCTTATCCCTTATGTCTATATATACATATATATAGATATATATACTACAAGAAAAAAGGGCTTCTATAAGGGGCCAAAAGTGCCGTTGAAACTTATTTACGGCGCATTGTAGGCCCTCGTGTATAAGAGTTCCGTAAATACTTAATTTTTTTTACGAGAAAAAATCTATCTCGTAGAAAAATAATAAATTTGCTGTAGAAAACAATTTTGTTTATATATTAAATTTATTTACAACATGGATATTTTCCCATTAATAATTAACTTACGAGGCACCAACGTATGCCGAAGAAAAGTTTTCTGCGGCAAATTTTAACTGCCCGTAAATAATCTCACGAAGCACCGACGCATGCCGTAGAAAAGTTTTCTACGGGGAATTGTAACTACCGGTAAATAATCTCACGAGGCACCAACGCATGTCGTAGAAAAGGTTTCTACGGCGAATTTTAACTATCCGTAAATAATCTCATGAGGCATTGAAGCATGCCGTAGAAAAGTTTTCTACGACGAATTTTAGCTACCCGTAAATAATATAAACCATTCTCATGAGGTAACATGAATGCCGTAGAAAAGTTATTTACAAGGATTTTCATTAATATATGGCCTCTTATTTACGGGGTTTCAAGCTCCCCGTAAATAAAATGTATATACGAGGATCCAATGGTAAAACACCGTAAACAAAAAAGAATCAAAATGAGAAAAAATGAACAATGGAAGAAACGGAATCGAAAACCGAATCCTGAGCAGAGAGATATGCCTCGAGCAAGTTCGGCGGCAACCGAGGTCAAAAACCTAAAAACTGGGGAGATCGACCGCAAGACAATTCTAAGAGTACATGACTCGACGAGATGTGAAAATGAATCTCGTACGAGGATTCAAGCCCCAAGGAGACACTTTGCAATTAACTTTCATTGGTTACACAAAGGCCTTTATACAAAAGGATAACTGCGCAAGTGACTCAAATGAACATATCTTCCAAAAGATATTTTCTTAGAAACCCCCCAAATCAAAATATCTTGAAAAGATATTTATGAAAAACACCCCAAGAAACGAAAATATTTCTAAAGAATCTTTTCATCTATGCCCCTACGGGAAAAAGAAATAACCGGCGAATTTTCTCTAAAAGTAAAGTTACGCATTTCAAGGAAATCAACAAGAATGAAAGCACGTAAAGTCAAAAATCAACTCCGACCACGAAGAGTGAGGTTACGTGAAAGGAAATTTCAACGAAAAAAAATTAATCCGTAAAAATGGAGAAAAAGAAAAGGAATGAAAATGACTGGGTCATTACATGCGTGCTACACCCATGGTGGAGGTGTACGACGGGGCTTGTAACTAGACTGGCATGTTGCTGCCTCCTTCCACGGAAGGCTCGAAATGGTGGGGCTGCACATTTTGTGATTCCATCGTCTTATACTGATATCCCAGTGGAGTTACCAAAATGTAGGGGTTCTTTTTCGTAACATTATATAATAAGATAAGTACATGTGATATCTAAAGTACAAATATGAGGGATGCAGAGAAGGTTCCTAATGAAGGAGAGGAAGGAGACCGACCTTCCAAGATTCAGATGGAGGTAGGGAGAATATATTGTTCTTGTGATAACTTCTTTTTCTGTTGCCTTGATGTATTATAGGAGAATGCTATTTATAGACTATCAACCGTCATGGCAATTATCCAGAGGTTTGTTGCATAGCTCGCTCCTGTCTATCACTGCCTAAGTAGTCATGATAGCTCTAGGAACCTAAGCAGTCAAGTCCTCTTATTAAGCCATGCGCTAGGTTGCGTCTCCCTTATTCAAGGCATTAAATGCACTTTGTCCTTATATGACTGTCGGTTGGTTAAATACGTAATGGACAATGTCAGAGCACATATTAAATGTGATTTAAGGTTTCATAGTATGTTTCCATCATCTTGTTGACCTGGCCTTGCTATGAGCGGAGGCATTTCTTTGCTTCCCATCCACCAATCCAGGCTCCTTCAATACATCCCAATGGGGAAATCACCAAAGGCTAAGAAGGCCCTACCTTCATTTCGCGGCGTGTTTTGTGACCTAGTAACATAATGTAAGAGTTTGGAGCTACTCGCCGTGCTAGGCAACCTGGGATGCACTGCCAGGGTTTAGGACTACTCGAGGGCTGATCCTTGAGGCTTAGGGACCTGAAACGTGATGCCAGGGCTTGGAGTTGCTTGAAGGCTGGCCTTCAAGGCTTGGTGACCTGAGACACAATGCCAAGGTTTGAAATCGCTTGAGGGCTGGCCTTCGAGGCTTAGTGACCTGAGGCACGATGCCAGGGTTTGGAGTTACTTG